TCAGTGTCGAAGAAAAAATTGCAAAAGGGACCGAACGAATTAAACAACTCACATAATTCACAGTCGGAGTTTGTGCTGACAAATCTATTTAGCAGATGAGGAAGCGTCGTAACGATTCCCATATTCCGGAGAAGTCTCACAAAGAAAATGCTGCAAATTTATAATACATGGGCGACTTAGAACGGGAGAAACGTTGAAAATGCAAATCATTAAAACTGTCGCGATTTGCAGTTCTAAAGAATGTTGTTGATTCGACGAAGCTGATTCAATATCGATAATATTTAAATCTGTTTGGAATCTAGTTTCTGAAAAGAGGCAAAACTATAGTAGCGGCGTAGAAATGGAAAAACACCAACAGAGATAATTTTATTAAATAACTTCTGAAATGACTCCAAGCCGATGAAGACTCAATCATGAAAACAAGATTCTCTATTATACTGTACCGGATGAGCATATGTTCATGAGAGTTAAGCGAATTCGACATGAAAGCATACATCATAAATACTTTATCCTCGTTGGTTCATATTAGGATTACCATAACCTCGAATAAAAAACATTCAGTTTATTTCTTGCCATCCAGTGTATTGGGTCAAGAGGAAGCAAATGCAAGAAGAACGGAAAAGATGAGAAAGCGTGATATACTGATGATGTACTATTGAAAAATTCTCGAAGATGGCTCACTGAAAGTGGAAGGGTCATCAAAGAATCAAACGATACACCACCATTAAGACTGAATTTCATGGAATTTAAGGAAATGAAATTGAATTATTCTGGTAAAGGTATAGCACCTTATGCATCACTGAAGCCGTCCCTGAACATAGTTCGAATTTCGGGTTTCAACGCTAGGGCAAAAAACTAAAACTGGTCTATGCCGAGAGTCAGGCACAAAAAAACGACCAAAAACAAAAGAATATCTATGAAAAAATACGGAAGAAGGTTCATACCTCACAAAATTTTGGATGTTGACCACTTGAATGGAATCACAAAACAACTGTATAAATTTTCTATTGGTTCTAAGCAGCCGGAAGCACTGAACACTAAAACGATCACCTGAAAAACCAAATCGTACACCATCTGTTAACCATAACAGCGAAATGGAACAACGAGTTTTCGTTAACTCCGCAGTTCTCCAATGACTACTTTATTTCCAATGGTGGCTTAACACGACATTTGCAAAAATGACAACAAACTTCTTCGTAGTGCTGTACAGCTGTCCAAAACTAAAACTGTTGTTGTCATCTCAGGTATAAGGCTAAAGGACCGAGAAGCCAGACAGCAGCCTCCGAGGCTTGGCCTCTCGTACCTTGTCATTCTGTCATATTGCTTCCACTTGACCAGAAAAGGAAAGCTTGCAACCATTCAAATATCGTCTTCCTTATACTGTCATGATCTATCCGTTTCTGCCCCCCCCCTACACCACCCATTCATGAAGTAGAGGGTGGTGCGCTGATTTAAGTTCTGTGCCAAGAGGGGCTTGTTTTAAAAGCAGAGTCGACAACAGCTATATGGACATCATTGTGCGCAGTCTCTTATTTTCTACTCACAGAATGGTATTCGTCTGTCTACATCGGAAGGAAGAAAGGAGTGTGCCAAACCAGGGTTTGAACCCATAACCTCTTGATTCTGAGTTCGACATTCTACCGACCATGCAACCAAGAAACGAAACAATGCACGATAAATATCTTGCCCAAAACAATTCTTGGAGCAGACAAAGATTGCACCTCCGCCGGAATCGAACGCGCCCCGACGTCGAGGATCATTTCTCAGTCGCTATGCAACCACATCAGCCACTCGAAAACAGCATCGAAGTACGAAGTACAAGTGCTTTACAATAAATTACAAGTAGAATTCAGCAGGAAACGAACTATTTATAAATACTGACTATAACTTTAAGTCAATCTCATTGAAAACCCCGTAATAGATAAATTGCTTATTCGCAACACAAATTTGAAGGGTACAGTATGTAGATCGATTTTGCAGGTTATTTCTCACAACTTCAAAATAACCTCTTTTTCTAACCCTGGAAAGTTAAATCGTGAAGCGAAGAGTCAGCTTTCACAGCTTGATCAAAGTAAGTTTAAGTCAAAAGTAGAATTAAGCCGAGACATTTCACATCTTTAAAATTTTTGCCCCGCTGAGTCTGCATCCTGTATGTCTATACATGGACAGGGTAGCCAGATGAATCCAGAGCGACGATTATATGAGCATGGAGAAGAGAAGACCGCTGTTTGCGTATGACCTTGTTTTATTGAAATTGAAATAGATCTTCAGCGCTCTCTGGAAAGGCTCGCAGCCGAGTGCTAAACAATCTGCATATTCGTGAATCGTGACTGTAATTAAAAGCCGACTGTTTTCTCATTTTCTGCAGATAAACAGAGAAGCAGCTGAACAGACGGAAAAGTTTAAATACCTCAGTATCAACTTTACCGATGGCAAAAAATAAGAGAACTGATCGACCGGTGAATTGGAATTTCCAGTGGAATTCTTCCTGAACTGTCCTGAAGTGTTGCGACTGAGGTAGAGTTGAGTTTGAATACTAACCTGTTTACGTTTAAGTCGATCCTTGCTCATCTGTGGTAATGAGTTATGGCACATAACTGGAAAATTCTTATCTTAAACGAGCTCCTGAAATGGGACTCATGCAACTGGTACTACTTGCTGTACGACAGGTCGAAGACTCCGGAAACGAACAAGAATAACCGGCAGTAGGTGCCTGGGCGGACTCTAGTTATCTTCTGTGGAAGCTGAAACATTTGGCGCAATACTGAAAACCTTCGAGATATTGTCTGACTCTGCGAAACGTTATCGAATAGTCTGACTCATTAAGATTTAGGTAATGCGGTCTTCTTTATTCATAAAATAAAACTGAAAACAATTAACAAATTATAGTTGCGCATCACAAGCAAGTAAACTATTACTGTTCTTGAAACAGAATTTTGGAGTAGGGGTGTTCTCAGCTGGACTCCACAGCCTAAAAGTGTTCATAGACTGCAAACCACGCAACGCAGCATAATAATGTATAGGTCAAAATAACAAGAAAGGATAGCAAAACAAATAAATGAATAAGAGCACATTAGAATCAACATGCCTTTCACCGAGTGAAACAAGTAAATTGGCGATGGGTACTATGCAGAAAGAACCGATTATCGTTAGAGACGTTTAACTGGGTTCCAAGAGAGACTGATATTATTCCTGATTGATTGAGGGAGTAGAAGTCGCGTACGAAGACCTCCAGATAAGTAGCATGATGAACTGAAGAAGTTTCTTGAATCCAAATGGATAAAAACGGAAGAAGGCATAAATCTAGGACGAATCATAATTCTTGCAAAACCCTTCAAGCAACAGTGGATCGATTAAGGTTCATAATGATGATAGAAAGTAACGAAAAACTATTGTATCACAGCCTTAAGCAGTTTGACAGCCAAACTTTTGGTGCGTAATACTATGATCTAAGAAATTTAAATTTTTTAATTACTTGATGAACAATTATTGACCAACCGTATGAAGTTTGCTGTATGTATTGATCGACCATTACAGCCCCGTATGGGATGTTTTACTCTGTTTTCATTTAGAAATAGGTCCATAGAACAGCCAGCCGGATGTTGCGTAAGCAGAAAACTCTGTTCATTTGTGTACGTTGTGTACAAATGGTCTGAATAACGCTTTTCTTAAACATTTCTCCACTGTCATCCCTATATGGCGAATAATTTGCCTAATGAACAAGAAGCTGTCTTCAGAAACTCGCCCATCCAGTGCTGTTATGATTAACAGAAGAAATATTGCAACATTTCGATGATCGGTAGAAGATTCATGTCTAAGCTATTTAACGGCATTCGATAAAAATATGTTCAACCAAGATTACCACGATCCGTTGGAGAACGATGAAAAAAAAAACCCGGATGTTTTTGGGGACCTTTCGATACTAACGCTGACTTTTTTTATTCATAGGCGCGGTCCTGCTTTCTATGCACTTCAGGCGCTTTAGTTCAGTGGAGTCGTGGCCTGCTTAAATAGGCCCATTAGGCGTTTAAAAGCAAGAGGGCGGTGCAGTAGAGCTGCTGGTGTAAAGTGAGAAACAGATTTTTCCTTTACACTGTGCATTTAACTCCGCCATGGCCAGTCCCAAGCG